TGGTGCCAGTTTTCAAGGGGAATGCTTTCAGCTTTTTCCCTTTTAGTATGCTACTGGCTGTGGATTTGTCATAGATAGTTCCTATTATCTTGAGGTATGTTCCATGAATACCTAGCTTATTGAGAGTTTTTAACATGAAGGGATGTTGAATTTGGTCAAAGGCCTTTTCTGCATCTGTTGAGATAATCATGTGGTTTTTGTCTTTAGATCTGTTTATGTGATGAATTAGGTTTGTCAATTTTTGTGTGTTGACCCAGCCTTGCATCCTGGGAATAAAGGTAACTCGATTGTGGTGGATAAGCTTTTTGATGTGCTGCTGGATTCAGTTTGCTAGTATTTTATTGAGAATTTTTGCATTGATGTTTATCAGGGATATTGGCTTGAAGTTTATTTTATTTTTTTAAATTTCTGCCAGGTCTTGATATCAGGACGATGCTGGTTTTATAGAATGAGTTAGGAAGAGGCCCCAGCCAGACGCAGTGGCTCACACCTGTAATCACAGCACTTTGGGGGGCAGAGGCAGATGGATCACAAGGTCAGGAGATTGAGATCATCCTGTCTAACATAATGAAACCCGTCTCTACTAAAAATATGAAAAATTAGCCGGGTGTGGTGGCACATGCCTAAAGTCCCAGCTACTCAGGAGGCTGAGGCAGGAGAATTGCTTGAACCCAGGAGGCGGAGGTCACAGTGAGCCAAGATCGCACCACTGCACTCCAGTCTGGGCAAAAGAGCGAGACTCCTTTCTAAAAAAAAAAAAAAAGAAGAGTCCCATCCTTTTCTATCATTTGCAATAGTTTCAGAAGAAACGGTTTCTTTTTGTTTCTCTTTGTACCTCTGGTAGAATTCAGCTATAAATTCATCTGGTCCTGGCCTTTTTTGGTTGGTAAGCTATTTACTGCCTCAGTTTCAGAACTTGTTATTGGTCTTTTCAGGGATTCAACTTCTTTCTGGTTCAGTCTTGAAAGGATGGATGGGTCCAGGAATAATTATTAATTTCTTCTAGATTTTTCAATTTATGTGGATACAGGTGTTTACAGTATTTTCTGAACGTTGTTTTTACTTTATGGGGTCGGTAGTGATATCCCCTTTATAATTTTTTATTATCTATTTCATTCTTCTCTTTTTCTTTATTAGTCTAGGTAGCAGTCTATAAATTTTGTCAAAAAAAAAACAAAAACGTTTCGGCCGGGTGTGGTGGCTCACGCCTGTAATCCCAGCACTTTGGGAGGCCGAGGCGAGCAGATCACGAGGTCAAGAGATCGAGACCATCCTGGCCAACATGGTGAAACCCCGTCTCTACTAAAAATACAGAAATGAGCTGGATGTGGTGGTGTTCGCCTGTAGTCCCAGCTACTCGGGAGGCTGAGGCAGGAGAATTGCTTGAACCTGGGAGGTGGAGATTGCAGTGAGTCAAGATTGTGTCACTGAACTCCAGCCTGGCGACAGAGTGAGACTCTGTTTTAAAAAAAAAAGTTCCTATTCATTGGATTTTTTTTTTTTTTTAGAAGAGTTTTTTTGTCTCTGTGGCTTTCACTTCCACTCGAATCTGGTTACTTCTTGTCTTCTGCTAGAAGGTTTCTTTGCTCTTGGTCTTCTCATTCTTTTAGTTATGACGTTAGAGTGTCCATTTGAGATCTTTCTAGGTTTCTGATGTGGGTGTTTAGTGCTATAAATTTCCCCCTTAACACTACTTTAGCTGTGTGCTAGAGATTCTGGTACAAGGAATGTCTCTTCATTCTCATTGGTTTCAAATAATTTTTTTATTTCTGATTTTTTTTTAGATGGAGTTTTGCTCTATCTAAAACTATCTATTTAGTTTTAGATGGAGTGCAGTGGCATGATATCGGCTCACTGTAACCTCCACCTCCCAGTTTCAAGTGATTCTCCAGCCTTAAACTCCTGAGGAATTACAGGTGTCCACAACCACATCCAGCTAAGTTTTTTGTATTTTTAGTAGAGATGGTGTATCACCATGTTGGCCAGGCTGGTCTCAAACTCCTGACCTCAGGTGATCTGCCCGCCTTAGCCTCCCAAAGTATTGGACAGAGTGAGCCACCATGCCCAGCGAAAGCGTAAAGCACCCATTATTCCCAAGTGGTCTCACATCCAAGTCTCAATAAGGCCCAACCCTGCTTAGATACAGAGATCAGGTATGATCAGAAGGGTGTAGGCATAGATGCCCGCTGCTGATTCTGTTATTTAGCCAGAAGTCATTCAGGAGCCAGTTGCTCAATTTCTATGTAGTTGTGTGCTTTTAAATGAGTTTCTTACTTTTGAGGTGTTTTTTGTTTTGCTTTTTTGTAACAGAGTCTCGTTCTGTCACCTGGGCTGGAGTGCAGTGGCATGGTCTTGGCCCACTGCTACTTCTGCCTCCTGGCTTCAAGTGATTCTTGTGTTTCAGTCTCCTGAGCAGCTGCGACTACAGGCATGTGTCACCATGCTCAGGTAACTGTTTGTATTTTTGGTTTCACCATGTTGGCCAGGCTGATCCCAACCTCCTGACCTCAAGTGATCCACCCACCTCAGCCTCTTAAAGTGCTGGGATTACAGGTATGAGCCATCGTGCCTGGTGAGTCTTACTCTTGTGTTTTAATTTGATTTCACTGCAGTCTGAGAGACTGTTATGATTTCAGTTCTTTTGCATTTGCTGAGAAGTGTTTTACTTCCAATTGTATGATCAATATGTATATTTACCTGCCATGTGCAGCTCAGAAGAATGTGTATTGTGGTGTTTGTGGCTAGAGAGTTTTGTAGATAGATATCTATCAGGTCCATTTGACCCACAGCCGAGTTCAAGTCTTGAAAACTATTGTTACTTTTCTGTCTCACATATCTGTCTAATATTAACAGTGAAATGTTAAAAGTCTCTCACTATTATTATGCGGGAGTCTAAGTCTCTTTGTAGGTCTCTACGAATGTGTTTTATGAATCTGGGTGCTGCTTGAATTGATCTCTTTACCATTATTTAATGCATTTCTTTTTTGATGTTTGTTGGTTTGAACAACAAGTTTGTCTTGTCAGAAACTATGATTGCAACCCCTGCTTTTTTATGCTTTTATTTGCCTTGTAAATTTTCCTCCATTCCTTTACTTTGAGCCTGGGTTTGTCTTTTCCTGTCAAATGGGTCTCTTGAATACAGCATACATATGGGTCGTAACTGTATCCAGCTTGCCCTTCTGTTTCAGTTGACGCATTCAGTCTATTCCATTTAAGGCTAATATTGTTATGTGTGGTTTTGATTCTGTCCAAATCGTGCTAGCTGCTTATTTTGAAGAGTTGTTGATGTAGTTGTTTTATAGTGTCATTGATTTGGTACTTCAGTGTGTTTTTGCAATGACTGGTAATGGTTTTTTCTTCCCATATTTAGTGCTTCCTTCTAGAGCTCTAGCAAGGCAGGCCTGGTGGTGATGTATTCCTTCAGCATTTGCTTGTGTGAGAATAATTTTACTTTTCTTCACTTATGAAAACTTAGTATTGTTATTTTGTTTCATTTGCTTCTTGTATCTTTGTTCTTCATTCTCTTTTTCTGTCTTTGTGTCTTTTTTATACTTATCTTGATATGCTTTCACTTTTTTATTTTGTGTTGTGTATCTATGCAGACACATTGTTGGTGGTACCTTTGGGATTACACAGAGCCTCTAAAAGATACAAAAATATATTTTAATCTGGTGAAAATGAACTTAAGCTGCATTCAAAATTTTTTTCTCATTATATCTGCCCTAAAATTTGTCATTGATGTTGCTAATTATATATATCATGTTGTATATTCATTAATAAATGTTTATAATGATTTATATGCTTTTATCTTTCAAATTTTAGAGAATAACTAAAAATGTTTTTGCACCATTATTATAATGCTAAGAAATTCCATTTTTATGTATGTACATTTTCTTCCCAGAAAATAAGGTATTTTATACAATTATGTGTTGTTTTGTTGAATCATGTTATTTTCAGTAAAAGCAACTGCTTTCAGCTCCGTTTATATTTAGGGCAAATGAATTGCAATATAACTTTTCAGAATTTGGTTATTTTTTAAGGTCTTTTTAAAAAATTCTTTGGCAGGATAGATATGCTGATGGTGTTATTCTCACTTGATAGCTATTTTCTTCAGGACGTTAACTATATCACACAGTTTCTCTGTGGCCGGCACAGTTTTTGTGGACAGTTCACCACCTATCTCATAAGACTATGCTTATAAGTGACACATCATTTTAATCTTGCAGCTCCATTCTCTTTTCTGTGACTTTTGAAATTGTTCTTATATATATGTTTGTTATAAATATCTTTGTTTAGCCTCATTATTTTGATATTTTTTCTTTTGGAATTTTTTTTTTTTTTTTTGAGACAGAGTTGTGCTCTTGTTACCCAGGTTGGAGTGCAATGGCTCAATCTCGGCTAACCGCAACCTCCACCTCCTGGGTTCAGGCAGTTCTCCTGCCTCAGCCTCCCGAGTAGCTCGGACTACAGGCGCGCACCATGATGTCCAGCTAATTTTTGTATTTATAGTAGAGACGTGGTTTCACCATGTTGACCAGGATGGTCTCGATCTCTTGACCTCGTGATCCACCCTCCTTGGCCTCCTAAAATGCTGGGATTATAGGCGTGAGCCACCGCGCCCATCCTAAGAATTTTTTTTTTTTTTTTGAGACAGAGTTTCGCTCTTGTTGCCCAGGCTGGAGTGCAATGGCGTGATCTCGGCTCACCACAACCTCTGCCTCCCGGGTTGAAGTGATTCTCTTGCCTCAGCCTCCCTAGTAGCTGGGACTACAGGCATGCACCACTACACCCAGCTAAGTTTGTATTTTTAGTAGAGACAGGGTTTTTCCATGTTAGTCAGGATGGTCTCAAATTCCTGACCTCAGGTGATTTGCCTGCCTTGGCCTCTGAAAGTGCTGGGATTAAAGTCCTCAGCTACCTTTATAATATAGGTTCAATTTGTAAAGTATGCTTATCTAAGCATAGTAAGTTTAACAATTTGTTGTTTTTATTTCTTTCAGCTATGTGTTCTTATTTTCCAAAATACCTTTGGCCAGAGCAAGACATAAAAGATTCTTTTCAAGAAGTGATACTGAGAAGGTACAGAAAATGTGGACCTGAGAATTTAAAGTTAAGAAAAGGCTGTGAAAGTGTGGTGGATGAGTTTAAGGTGCACAAAGAAGGTTATAATGAACTCAACCAGTGTTTCACAACTACCCAGAGCAAAGTATTTCAATGTGATCAATAAATGAAAGTCTTTCATAAATTTTTAAATTCAAATAGACATAATATAAGACAGACTAGAAAGAAACCTTTCAAATGTGAAAAATGTGACAAATTGTTTTGCATGCTTTTACACCTAAGTCAACATCAAAGAGTTCATACTGGGGAGAATTTGTACCAATGTGAAGAACGTGGCAAAGCCTCCAAGTGGTTCTCAACCTTTACTAGAGACAAGAGAATTCATATTGAAGAGAAACCCTTCAAATGCAAAGAATGTGGCAAAGCTTTTAAATTTTCCACAACCTTTATTGCACATAAAAGAATTCAAACTGGAGAGAAACCCTACAAATGTGAAGAATGTGGCAAAGCCTTTAATGAGCCTTCAAACCTTACTACACATAAGATGATTCATACTGGAGAGAAACCTTACAAATGTGAAGAATGTGGCAAGGGCTTTAACTGGTCCTCAAACCGTACTAAACATAAGAGAATTCACATGGGAGAGAAACCCTACAAATGTGAAGACTGTGGCAAAGCTTTTAATCAGTCCTCAATCCTTACTAAACATAAGAAAATTCACACTCAAGGGAAACCCTACAAATGTGAAGACTGTGGCAAAGCTTTTAATCGGTCCTCATTCCTTACTACACATAAGAGAATTCACACTGGAGAGAAACCCTACAAATGTGAAGACTGTGGCAAAGGTTTTAATTGGTCCTCAAACCTTAGTAAACATAAGATAATTCATACTGGAGAGAAACCCTACAAATGTGAAGAATGTGGCAAAGCTTTTAATCGGTCCTCAACCCTTACTAATCATAAGATAATTCATACTGGAGAGAAACCTTACAAATGTGAAGAATGTGGTAAAGCCTTTAAGCAATCCTCAGTTCTTATTAAACATAGGAAAATTCATACTGGAAAGAAACCTTACAACTATGAAGAATGTGGCAATGCTTTTAATCCTTGAACCTTATTAAACAAATACTTTATACTGCAGAGAAACTACAAATGTGAAGAATGTGGCAAAGCTTTTAACCATTTCTCAAGTCTTACTAAGTAGTAAATTTATGCTGTACAGAAATCCTACAAGTGTGAAAGACCTGGTAAAGCCTTTAGTAAGCCCTTAATTCTTTTTTTTTTTTTTTTTTTGAGACAGTTTTGCTCGTTACCCAGGCTGGAGAGCAATGTCGCGATCTCAGCTCACTGCAACCTCTGCCTCCCGGGTTGAGGCAATTCTCCTGTCTCAGCCTCCTGAGTAGCTGGGACTACAGGCGCGCACCACCATGCCCAGCTAATTTTTGTATTTTTAGTAGAGACGGGGTTGCACCATGTTGGCCAAGATGGTCTTGATCTCTTGACCTGGTGATCCACCCTCCTCAGCCTCCCGAAGTGCTAGGATTACAGGCATGAGCCACTGCACCCGGCCAGCCCTCAATTCTTAACAGACATAAAATAATTTATACTGGAGAGAAACTCTACAAACCACAAATACTTGACAATGCTTTTGACAACACCGCAAACTTTTCTAACCATAAGAGAAATTATCATGGTGAGAAACCCTAGAAATCTGAAGAATGAGACAAGGCCTTTAAATGGTTGTCACACTTGATTTAGGTAAGATAATTTATACTATAAAAAAGGCCTACACGTTTGAACAATGTGGCAAAACTTGTAACCAATGCTCACACCGTAATGTACAAGAAAGCCTTTATACTTGAGATAAATTATATAAAGACTGAAAAATCCATTTTCATATCTGACTCATGTCTTACTTGCTCACATCTCACACCACATGCTCACATCTTAACACCAGAGAATTTGTACTTAATAAAAGCATTATAAGTGCAATTTCAAGATTTTTCAGAAAATACAAGCTTTCATAGTGAAGAGTATTTATTTTGAAGATGAACATTACAAATATAAAGAGAGTTATACCTCTTTACTGGTATCAGATTTTATTATAGACAGTTTGTTCTAGAGGAAAACTCTGAAGTAGTTGCTCAAACTTTGTTCTGCATCAGGGGATTTATATTGAAGAAAAGTTGTGCAGATGTAATAGATTTGGAAAAACTTTCAAAACCTACATCTTAGAAAATAACAGTTTATACTAGAAGATTTTTATGCAGTTACAGTAAAAGTTAAAAAAATTAATACATAATTAAGTCTATGCAAATATCAGAGTATTTATGGTAGAAATATATAAGGCACTGACACATCAGATATCCTAAATCAGAATGCTGAGTATAGAAAATCTAAAACTAATGTTGGTAGAGAAATTCTTTGTATATAACTTTAAGAGGATCAGAAGGGTTTTTTGCAGGTATGACATTCAAAGTATATTTCTTAAAAAATATTACAGATTTTTTGAGAAGTGAATAATAATGTCATTCAATCCTGAAATTATTCTCTGTTTCTTCATTTCTGTTGGATTCACACATGGAAGCATGGATCAATTGTTGCTGCATCAAAGATAGGCGACATTCTGTTTTGTTTTTTTGTTTTTTCTTTTGAGAGGGAGTTTTGCTCATTCGCCCAGGCTGGAGTGCAGTGGCGCAATCTCGGTTCACTGCATCCTCTGTCTCTGGGTTAAAGCGATTCTCTTGCCTCAGCCTCTGAGTTGTTGGGATTACAGATGCGTACCATGACACCCAGCTATTTTTTGTATTTTTAGTAGAGTTGGGGTTTCACTATGTTGGCCTGACTCGTGATCCATCCACCTCAGCTTCCCAAAGTGCTGGAATTACAGGTGTTAGCCACTGCATCTGGCTTTTTTTTTTTTAAGACAGAGTTGCTGGAGTGCAGTGGCATGCCTCAGCTCACTGCAACCTCCACCTCCTGGATTCAAGCAATTTTCCTGTCTCAGTCTCCCAATTAGCTGGGATTACAGGCACTTGCCACCACACCCAACTAATTTTTGTATTTTTAATAGAGATGTGGTTTTACCATGTTGGACAAGCTGGTCTCAAACTCCTGACCTTGTAATCCACCCACCTGGGCCTCTAGACAAGAAGTTCTTTTTTATTAGGTGGGTGTTACTTATGATCTTTTCTATACAAAAGTGAAGGCATTAAAATGTAAAATGCACAATGAAAATCTGAATGGAGAGGCTCTTAAAGGTTAACATAATATTGAGTGATGCATGACGGAGATGTTCAGAGTAATATTGTGCATTGTCATATGAAGACAACATGTTTAAAATTAAATTAGTATTATATTAACTATTATATAATGAAATGCAGTACATTTAAAAATTTTTAGATTAATAAAGTTAATACTTTAATTCAAAATTTTTACATGTTAAACACTATTTTGCATTCAATGAAGCATTATTATGCCACAAACTTTAACCTCTTCCACCTTATCCAAGGGTATAGGTAAAAGATCGTAAAAATATACATAACGGATTAACGTCCCTAGTAATTTTTTTTGCCAGTGGCTTTCAACTGCAAATAAGTTAAAGAATATTATTTCTGTACGTTAAATTTTTCTTTTTTTAAGATGGGGTTGCCGGGCTCAGTGGCTCACGCCTGTAATCCCAGCACTATGGGAGGTCGAGGCGGGTGGATCACAAGGTCAAAAGATCGAGACCATCCTGGTCAACATGGTGAAACCCCGTTTCTACTAAAAATAAAAAAAATTAGCTGGGCATGGTGGCGCAGCCTGTAGTCCCAGCTACTCGGGAGGCTGAGGCAGGAGAATTCCCTGAACCCAGGAGACGGAGGTTGCGGTGAGCCGAGATCGCACCATTGCACTCCAGCCGGTGTAACAAGGGCAAAACTCCGTCTCAAAAATAAAAAGATGGGGTTTCACCATGTTGGTCAGGCTGGTCTTGAACCCCTACCTCAGGTGATTTGCCTACCTTGGCCTCCAAAGTGCTTGGATTACAGGCATGAGCTACCACGCCCAGCCAGGTTAAATTTTTATTCCGTTTTTAATCATTTAAATTTATTTTAATCTTGGGTACATAATATGAGTATACATTCATGTGATATATGCCTTATTTTAATACAGGAGTAGAATATGTAATAGTCATATCAGCATTAAGTGAGGCATCCTTCAGTGCTAGCATTTATCTTCTGTTTTACAAACAATCCAATTCTACACATAAGAATAAATTTTACAGGTACAATTTTTATTTACTACAGGGTTATTTTTATGGTCATAATAAGAATTATAGACAAGTATAAATATAATTCATTTTTAGATTCTTAATAAATGTTTTTTCAAATTTTATATATTTTTCTTTGAACGTGTGGCCTGTCTGCCTGCAAAAACATACAGACTTTTACTTTTGACTTACATAGAGTTAAATATATATTAGTGTAAAGACAAACCTTAGGTGTAAGAAAATTATAGAGTGTGTTTGTATGAGTATGAGTTTGAAAAGAGCAAAATGGGAACAAAAATTAATTAAAGTGACTACTTTTAGATTTTTAAAAAAATCTTAAAAAATGCTGAAAGCAAACATATACTTTCTGCTTTGTATTGAATTTCTCCCTGCAAAATCCATGACTTACAGTTCTGCATCTTCCCATGCAAATTCTCTGTATTTACTTGCCTAGTATTCATGCTAGACCCCTACTTTTTTTGTTTCTTGCATATTTTTTGTTTGTTTACTAGTTTATGAAGTATTCATTATGTGAACTGGTCTGTGATTGTAAGAATTTTTATTTTTATTTATTTATTTATTTTTGAGACAGAGTCTTGCTCTGTTGCCAGGCACCAGGCTGGAGCTCAGTGGCGTGATCTCGGGTCACTGCAACCTCCGCCTCCTGGGTTCAAGCAATTCTCCTGCCTCAGCCTCCCGAGTAGCTGGAACTACAGGCGCGCACCACATGCCCAGCTAATTTTTGTATTTTTTTAGTAGAGACGGTGTTTCACCATGTTTCCCAGGATGGTCTTGATCTCTTGACCTCGTGATCCACCCGCCTCAGCCTCCCAAAGTGCTGGGATTACAGGCGTGAGCCACTGCACCCAGCCAATAATTTTTATAAAATTTAGTACACTCAAAATAATTTTTAGATGTTAATTCTACAATTAGTGTATTGTTACACTTTCTTGAGTTGGTGCACTCCATTTTGTTCTTTTAATGGGAGAACAATATATAAGCTTTCTTTTCTTTAGTGATTGTTCCTTTCACCTTTTATAATTGACGTAAGTATTTTTAACTATTAAGTCCATTTGTTCAGCTAAGTACTGGACAGTCTTCATAAGTCATTTAAGGATTTTTTTTTTCAGACATAGTCCTGTTGCCCAGGCTGGAGTGCAATGGTGAAGTGGCATGATTGGCTGACTGCAACCTCCACCTCTTGGGTTCAAGTGATTCTCAGCCTCAGCCTCCCGAGTAGCTGGGATTAGAGGCATGTGTGATGACAGGCATGCGTCATCATGCCCAGGTAATTTTTTTTAGTAGAGATGGGGTTCACCATGTTGGCCAGGATGGTCTTGAACTCCTGGCCTCAAGTGATCCACCCTCCTCTGCCTCCTAAAGTTCTGGGATTATAGGCTTGAGTCACCACACTCAGCAAGTCATGAGGATGTTTTTATATATAAAGGTAGCAAACATACCTTACAGGTTTTGCTCTGTAATAGATTCTCCATAATGATTCGCAAAGATTCCTGCTGCAGTTAGTTTGTAACTTCAACTCAGAGAAAGTAACTAATACTTTTACATAGTTAACATTTTTTGGTGAGATCATGTGACATTGTCTTGTTTTTCAAAAATCCAAATACATCATTATGAACTGTAGTCACCATGTTGTACAATAAATCTCTTGAAATTATTTGTCCTCTTCAACTGTAATTATGTATTATTTGACAGACATTTTTTCAACCCTCCATTCTAAATACCTTGACACGTGGTCCCAGCTACTTGTTGGAGGCTGAGGCAGGAGAATTGCTTGAACCCAGGAGGTGGAGGTTGCAGTCAACCAAGATCGCACCACTGCACTCCAGCCTGGCGCCTGGTCATGGAGAGAGACTCTGTCTCAAACAAACAAACATAATAATAAATAGTATTCCATTGTGTATGCCTACCACCTTGTCTTCATTTACATATTAGATGTTGAACTGTTTATTCTGTATTTTGACTATTGTGAAAAGTGCTGCAAACAACAGAAGTGCAAACATTTCTTCATTCTGATATTATTTGTTTTGTATATATATCCAGTAGTGCAATTGCCATATTACATGGTAGTTAAGTTTTTTGGGAAATCTCTATTTTGTTTTTCATAATGGCTGTCCTCATTTACATTCAAACCAAAGTCTGCAAGGATTCCCTTTTCTTCACATGTTTACCAATACTTTTTTCTTTTTAATGAGAGTCATTCTAACAGGAATGAGTTGATATCTCATAGCTTTTGTATTTTGGTTTGCCTTTTTGTGATAATAATTGACATTGAGCATTTTCAAATATATCCGTTGGACAGATGTATGTCTTGTCTTGAAAAATACTTATTTCAGCTACTTGCTTATTTTTAGTAGTTTTTTAATTGTATTGTCATTTGAGTTTTTTAATAGATTTTTTTATATTAACCCCTCATCACATGTATAATTTGCAAATATTTTTGTCAGTCTTTTAGTTGTCACCTTTGGTGGACTGTATCAGATTCTGCACAGCAGCTTTATATTTATTTTTATTTTTTATTTATTTAATTTTTTTTTTGAGACGGAGTTTCGCTCTTGTTACCCAGGCTGGAGTGCAATGGCACAATCTCGGCTCACACAACCTCCACCTCCTGGGATCAGGCAATTCTCCTGCCTCAGCCTCCTGAGTAGGTGGGATTACAGGCACGTGCCACCATGCCCAGCTAATTTTTTGTATTTTTTTAGTAGAGACGGGGTTTCACCATGTGGATGAGGATGGTCTCGATCTCTTGACCTCGTGATCCCCCTGCCTCGGCCTCCCAAAGTGCTGGGATTACAGGCTTGAGCCATTGTGCCCAGCCAGCTTTTTAATTTGAAGTGATATGACTTATTTATTCTTTCTTTTGTGTCCTGGGACATTTAGGTTTAATCAAAAAACTTGCCGCCCAGACCAGTGTTATAGGGCAATTCTCCTGCCTCAGCCTCCCGAGTAGCTGGGATTACAGGCGCGCACCACCATGCCCAGCTAATTTTTGTATTTTTAGTAGACATGGGGTTTCACCATGTTTCCCAGTATGGTCTCTATCTCTTGACCTCGTGATCCACCCGCCTCGGCCTCCCAAAGTGCTGGGATTATAGGCGTGAGCCACCGCACCCGGCCTTTATTTATGTTTTTTAAAGACGGGGTTTCACCATGTTGGTCAGGCTGGTCTTGAACTCCCGACCTCAGGTGATTCGCCTGCCTTGGCCTCCAAAGTGCTTGGATTACAAGTGTGAGCCACCACACCCGGCAAAATACAGGAATAATATTTATACAGAGAAACAAACAGAGGTAATGTGATATTGGCAATAGACATATGACTGATTCTAATTTTGCTCAGCACTGTTTTAAATTGTACAGAGTTAAACATTGTCATATACAATTATAACATAAACCAAAATAAGAAAACTAATTGGTTTGAGGTGGCATACCCTGAAATATGTAACACAAAAATATAATATTGCAAAACAAAATTAAAATATGGAATGTAAAACTTATTGGACACCATCAAGTAGATCAATATATTCATGACAGGAATCTTAGAAGCAGAATATAGGGAAAAAGTAATACACAGGTAACATGAAGACAAAAATACTGAGAATTTTCCAAATTTTGATGTATTTTAAAATATTCTAACAATAATACTTAATTCAAAGTTATTTTACTTCAAAAACAAGATAAAAATAAAGACTTTCCAAAATAGAAGCTCAGGGTATTTATTACAACTAGCATAGTCTTATAAGAAATGTTACAGGAATAAAATAAAAATGTATAAAAAATATATAAAAAGAAATGTTACAGAGTGGTTAGACACAGTGGCTCATGCTTGTAATTCTTTCTTTTTTTTTTTTTCTTTTCATGCTTGTAATTCTACAGCTTTAGGAAGCCAAGGCAGTCAGACCACTTGAGACAAGGAATTGAAGAAAGCCTGAGAAACATAGACTGCATATAAACAAAGAGAAATACTAAAATGAGTCGATTATGTTAAAACAAAATGATGTTGGACAGCATCATAAAACCATATATAAATATAAAGCTCTCTATTAAATGTAAACATACAGACACACATAGAATGTTTTACTATCATGATGGTGCGTAAAACCCTTAATGTTCTTCTATAGATACAAAAAACAAGATATAAATCTGCATAAATCTCTTAATAGATACACAATATAAGATAATGCGTAATATCTATAACAAACTAGAAAATATAGCAGTATAGGTTTTGCATTTAATTGAAGTTATGAGATTAAAATAAATTGTTTTAAATTTTTTTTTTTTTTTTTTTTTTGAGACGGAGTTTCGCTCTTTTTACCCAGGCTGGAGTGTAATGGAGCGATCTCGGCTCATTGCAACCTCCGATTCCTGGGTTCAGGCAATTCTCCTGCCTCAGCCTCCTGAGTAGCTGGCATTACAGGCACGCGCCAGCATGCCCAGCTAATTTTTTGTATTTTTAGTAGAGACAGGTTTTCACCATGTTGACCAGGATGGTCTCGATCTTTTGACCTCGTGATCCACCCGCCTAGGCCTCCCGAAGTGCTGGGATTACAGGCGTGAGCCACCGCGCGGGGCCTTAACTTTAAGATTTTTTATGTAGGCCGGGCGCGGTAGCTGAAGCCTATAATCCCAGCACTTCGGGAGGCCGAGGCGGGTGGATCACGAAGTCAAGAGATCGATACCATCCTGGTCAACATGGTGAAACCCCGTCTCTACTAAAAATACAAAAATTAGCTGGTCATGGTGGTGGACGCCAGTAGTCCCAGCTACTTGGGAGGCTGAGGCAGGAGAATTGCTTGAACCCAACAGGCGGAGGTTGCGGTGAGCCGAGATCGCGCGATTGCACTCCAGCCTGGGTAACAAGAGCGAAACTCCGTCTTAACAAATGTAATCTTCATTTGTTAAGATGGTTACAGTATGCTACAAGATGGTTGCATTATATTTATAGAAAATATACAATACAAAATAAAAAAGGAATCAAAGCATGTCACAACAAAGTTAAAAATTAAGGAAGTAAAACAGGAAATGAAAAAAAAATATGTCTCCAAGAAACACATAAAACTCTAACAATGAGGTGGTTTCTGCAGATCAGCAGACTTATTCTTTCCCCCTGCTGGCTCTGAGCAACCGGGCAGTACAGATGTATGGAATTTCCCCCTGTGCAGCATGCCCCCTCCACCAAGGGGCAGCCAGAGAGCTTTGTTAAGTGTTTCCCAATCTTGGGCATCCTGACTTGGTGAGACCCCTCCCGACAACAGGCATTGTCAGACAACTTATAAAAGAGTGTTCCCACTGTCATCAGGTTGGTGCCCCTCTGAGATTAAGATCTCAGAGATTTTCCAATCGACGTGGTGACGTCACGCTCTCCCCGGCCGCGACCGATCCGCGGTGGGTGAGGGACGGACATTCATAGTCAATGGGAACGCTCTTCTCGTCCTGCCCGCGGGGGCCCCTTGCCTCTCCTCCCCGCCTGTGGGGTTTGTGTTGGGAGGCATAGGGGTATGGAATCCGGCCCGACCTAGCTGTGCTCCCCCGTCCTCAGCCTGGCGGGGGCGGCGTTTACATTTTTCTTTTTTTAAAAAACAAGAAAAAATAAGATCTCAGAGAAGGGAGCAGGCAGTCATCTCTGCTGTTCTGCAGGCTCCACTGGTGACATCTCCAGGTGTGAGAGAAACTCAAAGTCTTAAGTGAATTCCAAGCGAATCACAGCAGCCCTACAGAACAGCCTGTCTTGCCTGTAATCCCAGCACTTTGCGAGGTGGAGGCAGGCGAAACACCTGAGGTCAGGAGTTGGAGACCAGCCTGGACAAAATGTCGAAACCCTATTTCTACTAAAAATACCAAAAATTAGACGGGTGAAGTGGCAAGAGCCTGCAAACCCAGTTACTCAAGAGGTTGAGACAGGAGAATCACTTGAACTCTGGAGGTGGAGGTTGCAGTGAGCCGAGATCCACCATTGCACTCCAGCCTGGGCAACCAGAGTGAAACTCCATCTAAAAAAAAAAAAAAGAAAGAAAAAAGAAGAGCCTGATTGTTTTTTGTTTGTTTGTTTGTTTTTGTGTTTGAGACCGAGTTTCGCTGTTACCCAGACTGGAGTGAGTGCAATGGCACGACCTCGGCTCACTGCAACCTCCGCCTCCTGGGTTGAAGCAATTTTTCTGCCTCAGCCTCAGGAGTAGCTGGGACTACAGGCGGGCACCACCATGCCCAGCTAATTTTTGTATTTTTAGGAGACACGGGGTTTCATCATGTTGACCAGGATGGTCTCAATGTCTTGACCTTGTGATCCACCCGCCTCGGCCACCCAAAGTGCTGGGATTATAGGCGTGAGCCACCGTGCCTGGCTAAGAAAATAATTTTTAACCAAGAATTTCGTATCCAGCAAAATAATGCTTTATAAGTGAAGGAGAAATAAAATCCTTGTCAGACAAGCAAATGCTGAAGAAATCTGTCATCACCATGAGGCCTGCCTTGAAAGAGGTTTTAAAAGAAGTAAATATGGAAAAGAAAAAGAATTACCAGCCACCACAAAAACACACAAGTACAAAGACTAATGACACCGTGAAACAACACCAAGTCTGCAAAATAACTAGCCAGCACCATGAAGACAGGATCAGATTCACACAAAACATATTAACCTTAAATGTAAATGGGCTAAAT